TAGAGATACGACGATAATATTAAAATATGTTTTCGTGTTATACGGTGTAAGGGCGTGGATTGAATTAAATTGGTTCAAGTTAGACACAAGTGGCGGTTGTTGTGACCATGGTAATGAACTCTTGGGTTCTAGTAAAGACAGTATTTTGTACCAGCTGAACGACTGTTACCTTCCCAAGGACTCGTCCCCGTTGAATAAACTAGCTTTATCACTACTGGTCATCGTATTATTAAGGTACAGAGCCCCTGCAATCGGATGTGAATGTGATAGGCAGAAATGTTTCAAAATGCAGGTAAAAATCAGTAGCGTTAAATGTGTAATGTTTAAACATTTTCAAATAATAATTAGAAAGGTTGAATCTCACGCCTGACGGATTCCCAGCAAGCGATGTCCTCTATTTGCCCCATTTTGACGCCAGAAGTTTCTTAAGAACACAGTACGTCATAATATGTGACTCCACAACCACTAGTTAATTATGACAATTCTAATGAAAGCAATTACAGTATTGTTTATGGCAATAACATGTTTAACGATAATAATAATAATAATAATTATAATAATAATTTAGTTACTAGGATTAAAATAATATATCCCGAAAGTCGCAGCCCAGTGGTTAATAATCCTGCTTCATATTCGGGATCAAATCTCATCCAGTAGACCTATTATCCTGACTGAGGTTTTCGTGGTTTTCCTCTGTCTCTCCAGGCAAATGTCAGGATATTACCTTATATTTTGACAAGACCGCTTACTTCCATACCATTTGCAATTCATTATCCCAATCATTCGACATTATTTCTACTGACACAAATAAGTAAATAATTTATACGAAAACTATGGTGATAATAGTATAACCTAGCTATTCCCCTTGTAAAACCCAGAAATTCTGCATTTCCTCATTGGTTTTCCAAAACTCTTGTCTATTACATTAGAACGAAGAATGCATCTCTTAAGAAATTCAAAAAATCTAAATCTGATTATCATTATAGCGTTTTTTCCCACTATCGTAAACTAGTTAAATTGACTATTAAATCAGATAGATTGGTTTGGTTAAAAACTATTGAAGAAAATTTGAAAACCCAACCAAAGCACTTTTGGAAATATATTTCTAATTTCAAAAAGAAAGACCAGTCGATTACACAAATTAAAGTTGGAGACAGTTTTATCACGGAACCCCAGGCAATCGCTGAGGCTTTTGCTGACCGCTTTCGTTCTGTTTTTAACTCCCCTTCTTGCGTTAATGTTACGACTAGTTCTGACTTCGCCTATTCTGATGTTTTGAATATTCCACGTATCTCTGTCGATGACGTTACGCGGGCAATTAGTCGTCTCCGTTCGACGAAATGCGTCGGACCCGATGAAATCCCGACTTTCGTCATAAAAGGTTGTTCTGAGATTTT